CAGAGGAGGTTCCACGCAACTGGTAAATGCAATTTATCCACCTAAGGTACAGTTACAGTCTTCTTTGCGAGCAGGCTGATTCATGTCCTGAGAAGGCTGCCAAAATAGCAGAGCACCAAATCACTGGCAATGGCTCAGAAAACAAATGATCTTGCTTTATAATGTAAGGCTCATGGCCTGTAACGAATAATAAAATCCAAAAATACACTATTACACATATGCCCAAGTGCTGGCTAAAGGTTTAAACAGAACACTGTAAAATAAAATTATTAAGCCCCACTGTGTTAGTGTAAACAATGTAGCAAGTAAAATCTATGTTAACTGTCTGACTTGGGCAAAAACAGAAGTACAAAGTTGACCAGTCAATAAAGGCACCTTGATAGCAGTTATCAAGCAGCATTAAAGAGCACCTAAGAATGTCAGATAGTCAAGGATATCCTAAAATGCTGGGATGCTAAATACCCCTTAGCCTCTCTAAACAAAGAAAACCCTTTATGACTCTTGGCAGGATATAGTAGAGCTGGACTGAGATCAAGGTTTCGCAATAGGGTGACGTAATCATTTATCAGTAATAAAAGACAAGTAAACCTTGTCTTGATCCTTGATCCTTGTTGGCTGATAATCAGTTCAATACGGCTCCAAGTGTCCCCCATTATTCAGGAATCAAATAAAATACTTCATGATGTCCCACAGCTACATTCAGCTAAACAGCTGTTGCTGTCAACTCTCAATATGGAGTCCAAAGAACTGTTGCTACCAGTGAAACAAGCCATTATTGTGGCCAAGTCAACTATCTGGTACGTTCTTAAAAAGAAAGAATGCACTGGTGAGCTATAAGACACCAAAAGGCCAAGAAAACCACAGAAACCACTGCGGTGGATGGCAGAAAATTCCTTCCCTGGTGAAAAAAAAAACGCTTTACAACAAATAGCCACATCGAGAACGCATCCCAGGAGATCTTTTGTCAAAGGTAACAATTAAAAAAAACTTCACCAAAATAAATAAAGAGAGTCTACCACAAAATGTAAACCACTGTTTTAAGCCTCAAAAACAAGTAGACCACATTAGAGTTTGCCAAAAACATGTTTTAAAAAAACATTTTGCAGTTCTGGAACAATATGTTATGGAGAGACGAGACAAAGATCAACTTGTACCAGAATGATCAGAAAAGAAGAATATTGAGAAAGGAAAGAACTGCTAATGATCCCAAGCATACCAGCTCATCTATAAAGCATGGTGGAGGCATTGTTATGGCGTGGGAATGCATGGTAAAGTAGTCCAGGTTGTTGGTGTCCTGAGTGGGGTTTATGTGAAAAAGTATCATTTTTAAACTGATATGCACATACAATACGAGCTCATCATATATGCAAATGCACTTTAGCAAAAGTTCACAGCAAAATTTAATCTCAAAATCGTTTCATGAATGTGCAGTCTACTGCATTCATGACTAAACAACTCTAGAAAACAAGTTGTAGGCTTATGCATAGACATGCTTTTTTTAAGTAGTTAACAGTAGTGATGTAATACTGTTTGTTTTTCCTTTACTGCAGTTCATCAGATATCTGTTCGTGAACACTTAGAGACACATACGATGCACATCCCTAGTCAAAGGCTACGTTCACATTACAAGCCTCATTGCTCAAATCCGATTTTTTGCTCAAATCTGATCTCTCTGACAGGATGGTTGACACTCGTTTAGGTAAGTGACTCAAATCTGTCATTAATGTGAACGAACCAGCATCCTGAAATGACCCACATGAGCACATCCTACTCAGTAATGTCACGTGAATGAATTACGTGCATCATCAGCAAACAAACTAACGAGCAGAACGAGCTTCGCTGAACATAATTAACTCTGAACATCTCTCAGCTGTTCATTATTAGAGCAAGACGAGGGCGAGATGTGTTTCTTTTCCACCGTTTACAGGCTTCAACTTCTGTTTGATGCTGCTGCCATGGTAACACTGAATGATGGCACATGCGCAGTGGAAAAAAGCACATGATTTCCGATCTGAGCGCTCACATTAAGGTCGCATGGCCACGTATCCAATCTAGGACCACATATGAAAGTGGCTCAGGTTGGATTTGAAAAGATCAGATTTGCGCGTCCACACAGCCCTGAAAACATCAGATCTGAGTCACATTAGGGCAAAAAATCAGATTTGAGCCTTGTAATGTGAACGTAACCAAAAGTACCCGACAATTTTGATGAAATGTAAACACTACTGGCAACACTGTTCATAATGTGACAAAGAACAAAAAGATTTTTTTTAAAAATCTAATTTTCTTTAAACCTATTAGATGGGGAAACATAGTCAGGTCCCTAAGTATTCGGACAGCGAGAATTTTAGTAATTTTGCCTCTGTACACCACCTCAATGGATTTGATACAAAGCCATCAAAATGTGATTAAAAGTATAAACTTGCAGCTGTAACAAAAATAATTAATTGTTTAGGAAATACAGCCATCATTAGACAGTCTTTCTTTTTTCACAGGCTCAAAAGTAATTGGACAAACAAACAATTATAAATGCAAGGATTATTATACTTATAATACTGACTGAAGTCTGGAACCCATGGACATCATCAAATGCTGAGCGTCCTCCCTTAAGATGCTTTGCCCACGCTTTCACTGCCGCCGCCTTTTTGTGCTTCTTGTTAGTGGGTCTTTCTGTCTTCAGTTTGGTCGTTAATAAGTGAAAAGTATGCTTGATAGGGATGAGGTGAGGTAACTTGAGGCCTTGGCATACTTCTTGCGAAACGAAATTCTTGAGGGTTGTGAGAAGCCGCAAGCGCTTACAAGCTCGCATACTTGCTGCAGTTTTGAGTAGCTTGTTGCGGATGCTTCACGTGATGCTATGACATTTTATGACAAGTTTCATGACTGGTAGAAAGCGATTCTTTCATAGTTCTAACTATTGCAACGTTTGAGTTCAGAATACTGCCACCATTTAAGGTGGAACGGGGATATTCAAACAAGAAGCTGCTGAATAGAAAGCCAACTTCAGCCTCGTCCTCTTGTGAACCTAAATATAAGATAACCTGTATGTTTTGGTGCTAAGTACTAGTTAGTACTACCGAATAACAGACTTAACATCTTACATCCTATAGGTATGCACTGTTTATTTACAAATGCGCATTTCACAGTGAAACAGTATTGTGTCTGCCAAAGCCGAAGCTCCTCAAAGTTGTCCATCTTTGTTTCATGGCATGCCTCTTTTTTTACTGACCAATCACAGGTTCTGTCGCGCAGCGTCTTCGTCCAAATTACAAAAATTGCGTCACTGTCCAAATACCTATGGACCTGACTGTATGCCTGTATGCCCAGATATTATCTAATTAGCTAACACAATAAATAAGATAACACTATTTGTCAAGATACGATAATACAATGCATAAAGAATCATCTTATAATTGCAGTTTATAAGTATAAACTGTTCTTCTTCGGTAGGTAGTGCACCTTCATTATAAATGCATTGATACAGGTATTGGCTCATACACAAACTCGTAAAAATTAACCGATACTAACACACAATACTCACTGATACCATGTGACATAAGCAGAGTGTACACTGCTGCTCCAATGAACAAACGACTCAAGTGGGCAGTGAAGAAGGGTCTGCTCAGAGTTAGTGACTCCATAAGGGTTGGACACTTTAAACATTCTGCCTGGGCAAATTTCCAACTGTGTGTTTTTAAACATACACAAACACAACCACTTCCCCAATACGGGTGAAGACAAAATGGAGACGAAATGGTTGACATGTCTTACCAAAGTTCGTATATACCAACTTTACTCTTTTTGACTGACTAGAATTGTGAGGTATAAACATTAATTTTTCAAACTATCTTTGGAAAATGGGCTGTCGATAGACCATACTGCCCTACTGTGTACATTTCAGTGCACAGTTGTCTGTAAGGGATGCATTCACGTAGCATGGACTGAACGTTTTCATACAGTGTGAGTATATAAATCGTAGGCTTTGTCCGTAAATGACAGGCCGTTTAAACTTAGGCCCAATCCCATTTCTTCTTTTTACCCCTACCCCTTGTTTTCAAGTGTCATCCTAGTGGTTGAAATCTTGTCTTATAAAATGGGACAACCCTGAAATAAAAAAAAAAATAAATAAATTGTCCACCGCTAGTTCTTTGGTGATACGAAGCTGAAGTCAGCTATTCACCAGCTTCTTGTTTGAATTTTCCCATTCCACCTTAAATGGTGCAGCAGTTACATTCTGGCGCTTCAGGCGTCAATACTGCTGGACTATTTAAGGTGGAATGGGAAAGTCAGCTAGCTAGCTACTGAGACATTAGCATGCTATTAGCCATTTTTTATGCTTGTTATGAAGAAAACGACATTATATAATACACTGAAACCACATTAAACTAAGATAATACAACGGTTATCATAATTTTTAATGGAGAAAATACTCTAGAAAGTGACAGACAAGGAGCATCAAAACTATGAAATGTAGTTTACTCGCTGCCAGACGCCAATGAGGAACCCCTTCTCCAGCAATGTGGAGCAAACTACACTCTTCTCTGCCGCAATGCTACTTGATTTAAGGTAGCTAATGTAGCATAGCTAGCTAATACATGTCACTTCAAATCAGACAGTAGGTTTAAATAATTTAACTGTTAAGGTATGTTGCACTTATTTACACTAACAAATACTTTATTCTAAGCAGGTAATTTGTTATGGTATCAGACTTGGTATCAGTGAGTACTTTAAAAAATGTACTTAAAAAAAAACAAAAAACAGTATCGATGCATCTCTAACCTACATTATCAATGTAAGAAGTTCTAGCTAGGGCCACTATAAAATTAATTTACAATACTGTAATTTCTTAAACAGAGAAAAACATTAAAACGTATAGATGTGCAAACCTACCTGATGATTAGATTTTAACACAAAACACTGCATATAGTGTAATTTATAAGCTGTCATAGGCATCAATTTTGTATTCAATAATAATAATAATAATTATTCAAGTTACTTACAATTTCTCTGATTTTTTGTACTGAAGTTTGATCCACTTAGTTGACTGACATCAAGACACACAATAGATCTTCCTGAAGATTTCTACAGCGACAAAAAAACAGAAGTACTTTATTAAGATAATTAAAATGAAGGCACTGGCACTAAAATAGACAACTGTATGTTTCAGATAACAGACTCAGAGTTTCAGAGAAGACACATGTATACAGAAATGCAACACCACTAGGGCTGGGTGATCAAAATAAAATCATTTTTTTCTGTCATTTTAGCAACATAAAAAAACTTGATATTCATGCATTCATTTTGGCTTAAAAGTGTGTTTTTCCAATCAGAAGAACCATAATTAGCAAGTTATGAGATATGTAAACTTCGATATAACCGAACTATTGTCAAGCAGATTCAAAGTGTTTACTGCAATAACAAAAAAATATGGTAGGCAAATTCAACGTTAGAGGTCTTTTATTTTGCTAATGCTTTAGCAATTTTTGCTGTCCTTGAATGATATAAGTACACTTCCTGAAAAGGCATGCATGCTGATTGTTATCAGCATATTCAAGTTAGTTTCACTTTCACAGCTGTAAACTAGTTGGCAGTAGTAGCACGTTATTAGCAGCGTGCTATGATCAGTGCTTAGCAACTAGAAGTTTTAAGGCTGCTTTGTGTTGTTGTGCTGTTAACGTGATGAACAGATGATACTACAGTGCTGTAATATCACCCACTTGTTTACTGTTAATATTACAGCCTTTCCAAAATGCATAACATTAATAACTAATTTTCTTTACTTTCTGAATGATATATCGACACGTGCATCACAATATACCAATGCTATACTGTGACTGATACAGCCTCTCTCATAACAACTCACAGCATTTGACTGTGTCATTAAGAACGCCCTGCCGCCATTTTGGTAGGCAAGCTGCAACTCAGACATTGCGTCGCCACTGCTTACGCTAAACCCTGCAGGCAAAATAGAGCAGAATGACGACAAAACAGATGAAACTATATGTGGACACTTCAGATACAGTCTGCTATGACTGGAAGATTAGCTTTATTTGTGGACTGGACCTGTATAACCTGCACATCTTCCAAGTTCAGAACATTCCAACGTGTGAGATCTTACACAAACTATTTAAAACGACTATCAACTGCCAAAGCTCTTAAATTATAAAACCGCACAGGTATACGAGGCTAAAGCCGGCTCCTTATTCGCCTGCTTCTTATGCTGGCCTTACACCAAACGACTTTTCAAGCAATTTCACTGTCGCAGACAAATTTCCAAGGTCTGAATAAAATCATGAGAGTCTTGCAAGAGTTGCGTCGCACTCGCGTCAGGATGGCTGTTTTAAGTCAGTCTTTGCTTCGTCTTGATGCTGTGACAAAATCAACCCTGTTCAATATTATCGTAAGTTTTAAGTCTTGGCTCATGCAAATAGTGACGTGCCAAGGGCGCACGTGAGAGCGAGTAAGTGGGCAGGCAAGCGCGTGCGAGAGGGAGAGAGAGAGAGAGAGAGAGAGAGAGAGAGAGAGAGAGAGAGAGAGAGAGAGAGAGAGAGGGAGAGAGAGAGAATGCATGCGTGAGTGCTTGAAATCTGTTAAAAAATAATAATAAAAATAAAAAAATAAAAAACAATAATCATGTTCACTTAAAATGTAAACTGGCTGTTTTAATATTTCAGGTTCACTGAACCTGTAACAGTGATGCTTCCTGTTACAGTGGTTTCTTATTTTGTTTGTTTTTTTACGGTATAGTTCATAACACGCAATCTACAACGCTGAATCGCTGCATGTTTTGTTGACGCGTAAATCTTTATGTCAAATAAAAAAAAAACTGCACATTTTACACGTTAATTTAAAAAATACTGGAAGATCACTGCAAGATTTTTCTTTGCAAAAGTCTTTGCAAAATCATAGTCTGTGACTGAAAACTCTGACACTGACTTTAGATGTGAGAGGGTGTCAGACTTTCATAAGTCTTTTCTAAGTCTTTTCTTCCAGTGTATGGTTAGCATTATTCAAATTTTCAATTTAAGTTTCAATGGTGCAGCAGTTACATTCAGGCTGTGCCATTTAAGGTGGAATGGAACATTGAAACCTGAATAGATAGAATCAATTTCAAAAAAGAAGCTGGTGAATATGAAACAGACATCAGCTTATCTCAATAAATGCATTGGTTTACCTCAATAAACACAGCCTTCATCAGGAAAGATCAACATCTGCTTGGAGATTTTGAATTGAGCAGCACAGCAGAGCTGTAATCAGTCATCGGAGCTGCTGGACTGTTAAACGTGTCTCACGTTCTAATTTTTAAAGTGACCAATATCATTTAACCAATATATTTGAGAGTAATGCCTAGATTTGATCTGATTCGTTGCTGTAACGATCACAAATAAAAGCTGAAATCTATTGCTGCATCCCAAAGTGCACACTTCTTTACTTCTTCCTACTACAGTAATGAGTGCACTTATGGTACTGCACTGTTTTTACATTCTATTTAGTATGCGGTTTGGTACAAAGCAGAAGTTACACAGTGGAAAATCTCAGCCGTTTAGATTTCAGCTTTTATCAACAAATCAAAGCAAATCTTGGCATTACTCTGAAATATTTTGGTTAAATTATGTCGATCACTTAAAAAACTAGTTTAGTTTTAATTAGTTTAAAGTTAATGTTCCATTAAGCGCCATAGTAATTCCCAATGATTTGTGTGAGGTTTTTGCGTAAGGCATGCTGGGTATTCACAGTATTCTGATGGCGGCACACATCAAAGGTAGTAAAGTGTTTTGATGTGTGCCGTCATCAGAATACTATGAATACCCAGCATGCATTACGCAAATACCTCACACAAATCATTGGGAATTCCTGTGGCTGTGTGTTTTGGAGAATAGTAAATATACATTAAAAATAAGTTACTAGCATGCACTAGTGATGTAGCACTAACCTCATTTTTTAATCTTTGTTAAAAGAATAATTCAGCCAGCTAGTAAACACCCTTCAAACAGCCCATCCCCCAAGTATCCAAACCAAAGCACTTCTGTTTTTTCAAAACTTCCTTCCACCTTCAAAATACATCATCAGAAGGGGGTTTCCTAGCCTTTAACCTAGGAAATCTCGTCTGAGAGACTACTGTGGCACCACTGTAAGAGGCGAGAGGGCATGTTTACAACAGATGACCAAATTTTTCACTATGAGCAGCGTGTCCCTTTAATAATGGTAGGACCCAGGTCCCAGTGGTCATTTAGGGCTACTCGTGAGGCTTATAGGTAGGACATACGTGAATGAAGGTATGAGGTATAACTACCTAGAGAGTCAAATCACCCTTCTGATTCTCAACATTAATAGATTGGTAGCTTTCGTGTTGCATTAAGACTCAATGTAATAAAAACAGTTTTCATATATATACACACACTAGTATACAGCTTCAGTTACCTCTACAATTCGCATATTTCCCTCCGTTGATTTAGTTTGACAGTAAGATATAGGCTAGCTAATAATTTGGGATCTGTACCTTGCAAACCGTGTGTGACGGACAAATATTGGGTTTCCAAAATGAACATTTCCACCCAGCTAACTTTATAGCTAGCTATGAAAGCTAACCGCTAGCTAACTAAGCAAACTTGCGTTCGTTGCCTTGTCTAGCTAAGGAGGTTAACGCTAAATTCACGAACGCTTTCATTTCAAGGACTGGCAATATTTGAGACATTATAATTAACATACAACATGCATGTTTGAAACAATGTCCTCGGACTGGAAATCCACAACGATAGTTAGCTAACGTTAGCTAGCCAAAATTAGGCTATTGTTACACTAGCTTCCGTTCGCTAACTTGCTTAACTAGTTAGTAAAAAAGGTTAAGTCAAGGGAAGCTCAAACAATCTTCGTCAGCCTATATTCCTTCTGGAGTCAAATCTCAACACAAATAAATGGATTATTTCAGTTTATGCATAGCCTTCGTGGACATTTGCGAACCACTTCCCTGGCTAGCCAGGCTAATCGACATGTCAGCTAATCGCCGAGTTAGCTAGCTCGGTGCACGACTACTGTGTTCAGCGAGCTGCGTGCTTTGCTTTGACACTCAAGTCGTAAGGAAAAACTAACCGCGTGGATCCTTGGCGTTTTCAGCGCTTTATTCTCCTTGGTTTCAGTGTTGTTGCACCTCGTCGGACGGTTCCCGTTCACATGCCACCACAAACGCCCTTCCAATCGCTGTAGGTAACACAAATTTATAAAAACAGTGGAGGAAGTGAAAGCAGTAAATCCTAACGCGTCTTCCAACCACCCGCTACACCCGCTAGTCAGCCCCAGACGCTCCACCTACTACTCACCCTCGACTCTACTCTACTATTTGGAAAGGTGTTCAAATGTAATTTCGTCGAATTTCCAAACTTTTCTATGTATTTCAATCGTTTAGATGCAAACAAAGTCATTCAGAGTGTTTCGACGTGAAACTGTGCAGTATAGAGAAACTCACATTTCTCTACAGCGGTGGCGATGGGAACCAGGAGTCCTGATGTCCACAAATGTAGCTATGTTAAAGGGGAATTCCACCGATTTTCCCAAATGTATGTGTAATTCAGGCACTGAGATGTAAAAAGTCATTCATGGTGGTTTGATGTAAAATGGTCCATTGTGGAGAAACTTGCCAACTTGGGGTCCTGTTGTCTTCAAGAATGTTATGTACTATCCAAAACGACCAGCGTGATTTTTTTGGAATATTGTGGAATATTGATCATGCTAAAAAGTGGTAAATCTGGAAGAATAAGTTTTCTTTGGGAAGTGTTCTTCCTCACTATGCCCTTGCTACATGTACAGCTCTGCCATGAATGGCTTTCAAAAATATACATTTTGGAAAAAGTGCAAAATACAGGGGGTTGAATGTCTTCAAAATTCCAGCCTGTGGGCAGCGTCCTGTGACCACTGATGTAGGACTAGAGGATGACCAACACAAACTGTGCAGCAGCAGATGAGCTATCGTCTCTGACTTTACATCTACAAGGTTGGACTGACAAGGTAGGAGTGTCTATTAGAGTGGACAGTGAGTGGACCCAGTGTTTAAAAACTCCAGCAGCACTGCTGTGTCTGATCCACTCGTACCAGCACAACACACACCAACACACCACCACCACGTCAGTGTTACTGCATTGCTGAGAATGATCCACCACCCAAATAGTACCTGTAATTGTAGAACTACAAAGTGCACCTATATAGTAAGTGGAGCTGATAAAATGGACAATGAGCGTAGAAACAAGGAGGTGGTCATAATGTTATGCCTGATTGGTGTGTATTCAATGATATTTAATTCAGGGGACTGGGAGGGTCACTCCAAAAGCTCCAGCTTGTGTTTCTTGAGGTAGTTCATGATGGATTTCAAAGCCCGTTTTTGAGGCATTGTCTTGTTGTAAAAGTCAACCTCTGCTTCAGTTTCTTGGCTGACTTTCTACATTTTTCTCAAATTAAAAATTTGGTCTCTTGATGTTCCAGTCATAATTCATTTGTATTCGACAACATTTTTTTAAGATCTAGAATTCAAAAAGCTGTTTTTGTTAATGTGCTTTTAAGACTGATGTATGTAAAGTACCTCTGTTCTGATTGGCTGCCCTGTATTATGCTTTGTTCAGCAAGCAGTGTGGGTTGAAATGTGGACAGAAATCCTCAGGAATGCTGGAAAAAACAACCACTCCTTTTAGAAGTTTGGATTCTTTAGAAAGCTGAAATGACAAATTAAACAGCACAACGTTTAATCTTCTCCCCATGTGTTCCATTCCAGTAACTCACAGTCCTACAGACTGTCTGCAGGAGCACTCTGCATCACTTCAACTATTTAAAGTGCTTTAATGAATTCATGAATTTCACAATTTTAAAGTTAAACATGTGTTAAATTAGAACTTACTGAATTATATGTATTAAAGCATAGTCAATTAGTATGTAAGTAAGTAAATTTTATTTATATATAGCATAAAAACACATAAAACAAATTCACCGATCAGGCATAACATTATAACCACCTCCTTGTTTCTACGCTCATTGTTCATTTTATCAGCTCCACTTACTATATAGGTGCACTTTGTAGTTCTACAATTACAGATTGTAGTGTGTGTTGTGCTGGTACGAGTGGATCAGACACAGCAGTGCTGCTGGAGTTTTTAAACACTGTGTCCATTCACTGTCCACTCTATTAGACACTCCTACCTTGTAGATGTAAAGTCAGAGACGATAGCTCATCTTCTGCTGCACAGTTTGTGTTGGTCATCCTCTAGTCCTTTATCAGTGGTCACAGGACGCTGCCCACAGGACGCTGTTGGCTGGATATTTTTGGTTGGTGGACTATTCTCAGTCCAGCAGTGACACTGAGCTGTTTCAAAACTCCAGTGGCACTGCTGTGTCTGATCCACTCAGACCAGCGCAACACACACTAACACACCACCACCACGTCAGTGTTACTGCAGTGCTGAGAATGATCCACCACCCAAATAGTACCTGCTCTGTGAGGGTCCATGGGGTCCTGACCATAAACCAAGTGGAAAACATTTAAACCAATCCGATGTATTGTGATGGCAAAGCTCAAAGTAGTACAATAGTTCGCATTGTCCAGTGAACAACAAGCTTGTTGTTAGCCCTCGGATTTAATGTTGCCATCGGTATAAAGTCCATTCAAAAACTCAAGCTGAGGATTTAGATGTGTGTTGCCTGTGCAGAGACCACCACTTGCGAGAGAAATTATTGTTATTGAATTATACAGTTTTATGCAAAAGTTTGAACACTCCTGGTTAAATTTCAAATTATGTTGATTTTCTAGGTGAAAATAAGTGATCACATCCTCCCCCATAAATATATTTTATTTTTTCCCATATGTAACATTCAGCAAATACACCATAACTGTCCAATAAAATGTGCAGAATGTATTTTCACTAAAAATCAAACATGTAATTGGACCAGGGCCGCCCAAACCTTTGCATACGACTGTGCAATATAAAATTATTTATAGAACGATCAGATTATAAAATTATGCAGGAGAAATCAACACATTGTGGAAAAAACTAATCAATAACATAACTTCGAAAACGACCTTCAGCTTCCAAAAAGTGCACATTTAAGTGACCAGTTAACCTCAGTTAAAGCTCATATACAGTGACATCTAGTGGCCGATGTGTGATTTTAAATGACTCAGCAATTCAATTCAGTTTAAGATGCAGTTTAAGAAGTTTAAACCAAATTATGTGACTTATTAATGGCAGTACTACTGGCCTGAGAGGTTTATTGTTTCTACAAAGATTTAGGAACTGATTTGGCTGCAAGAAAAATTCTATAAAACTCAATAATCAAAATAGTAAAAAACCTAAAATCAGTTTGAATAACTGGTACTTTTTCCAGAGCTGGTTTAAGGGGAGCCACTTCCTATTTCTCCCATTATATCAAAAACATAACTGCAAACTGTCATAGGGCACCCACGGCCGAATACTCGATGAATGATTTGCATGTATTTCTTACCTTACAGTTATTGTGTTGTATTGCATTGTACTGTATTGTTTGTATCAATGAATGAATTATGTTTTTGTAATGTCAATAATTGTTTATTAGCAATGTTTTTTCATTACATTATTGATGTAATTTAGTATTTCAACTTCCATAAGTAAATAAATAGCTGATTAAAAAAATAATCATTTTTCATTTAATCACTAATGTGAATCATAGCTTGAGTTTTCTGTGTGTTTTTTTTTTTTCTTATTCTTATATTAGACAGAATATTCAAAAATGAAAATATTTGATAGTTGCAACCCCAGAACTCACCTGTTAAATTTTTGGCCAGTGCCATATTATACCTGTAGCATTACAGAGATAGCGATGCAAAATCTCTTGTCTGCCATAATTCAAATCTAATAAACAATATAATAGAATTTCTGGATGCTCCGCCATGCAAATGTAAGCAAAATGTATGTGTTAAATTCAACTGAAATCTGAAACAATCATGTTTTCTTTCACTCAGTGACATATTTCCGAGTTCAACATGATATTATTTATATGGTGTGTCATTGACTGGGGACATACTTACTGACTCAGATTTTGACTCAGACTTACTTAAACACACTTACTGACTCAGATTTATTTACAGTGGTGGCGAGAGGAACTAGGGTTTGTGATGTCCACAACTAGATTATAGCCATTGTTTTTGGTATTGAAAACCAAGACATTTGCCTGACAATGTCACTAACATTGGTGCTTGTTCAGCCACGAGCTCTACTAGTCAGTCAAGAATCACTTTCACAGTAAACAATAGGAAATCACTTTGGACAGAATTGTTCTCGGCTTGGATGGGGAGTGTTGAAAAGTCACTAGCAGCGGTGGCTAACGCTCCAGTGCCACCAAAGTTTTGACTTTTTTCTTCACTTGCCCGTAAAACACGCTCCACACTAAAAAGCACCACCCACAGCATTTGATTGACGTGAGTGCCTCCCTGCAATTGCAAACGGAATTGCAAATACATTTTCATTTTGGCAAGCAGAAGCACGAAATTTCAAATCTGGAACTGTTATTCAGTTTTTAATGTCAGAGTCTATGAAGCTGTTTTAGGGCCACTGGCAAACATTGTAGACTTTGAGAATAAAGTCATAATATTTTGAGATTTCATAATATTTCGAGATAAAAAGTTGTAGGGTATGATATTTCGAGAATAAAGTCATAATATTTCGAGAATGAAGTCATAATATTTCAAGAACGAAGTCGTAGTATTACAAAATTAAAGTAGGATATCACCAGGAAAAGTTGCAATATTGTAGCCAAAGGGTTTGCAAAAGGAAGGTAGTAACTTCCTCCTGTTAAAATAAGGGACTTTGAGGAGTTGGTAGAGTTATACTTTCATATCAATTTCACCAATAAAGAAATACTCAGTCTCCCAGTCTCTCCAGGCAAATCAGCTCCAGCCCAGCTCCAGCCCAGCTCCAGTGTGCTTGTCTTCTAATTGAAATATAGTCTTTCTGCTGGTTAAGGTAGGCTCTGAGTTAAGACTTTCTCTAGCTTAGACTCTGTTAGTTACAAGGCTGCCTTGTAGAACCTAGTGCTTAATTGTAACTACTAGCTTCAGGTGTAGTTTCGGGTTAGCTAAAGGTGTGAATTGTAGGGGCCGGACTATCAGTCACAAGGCTGATAAATTGAGGAGGTGTTCCCCGGAAGAATCAGTGTGCTTGTCTTCTAATTGAAATATAGTCTTTCTGCTGGTTAAGGTAGGCTCTGAGTTAAGACTTTCCCTAGCTTAGACTCTGTTAGTTACAAGGCTGCCTTGTAGAACCTAGTGCTTAATTGTAACTA